GGCAGCTGGTTGCCGACAGTCCCCTCCACAATACGGGGTGCCCCACAACAAAGTATGTTCTAGTGTTGCCATCTGCTTACATGAGTGAGACTTTTGGCTCCTTCACCTTGGCTTAAGAGAGAGGGGTGCAATAAGTGGTGTGGAGTCCCTTGCAAAGCAAAGAGGAGCAGGTTTTGCCTTGCAGAGCCCACGCTTCCCACAGACAAAAAGCCGTAAAGAGAAGTCAGGCAGGCACATGGGAAGGATAAGCAAGGTGCCATGGAGAAATGCCAGGCGATTTGGCTCAGAATGGTGTGTGTATCCTCTTTGTGCTCTATAACCCTCTTGCCTTCTGTCTGTGTTCTTCTGCTTCCCCTGGTGTGCTCATGGGTGTGCTCAGTGACAGGGTCATTGGGAAAGGTAACACGGAGTGCTGCCATTCACAATGTGCCTTTGTTCAGGATGCTCTCATTCCCACAAGCTTGTGGCTTGTCCCACAGGCCACGAGGCTTGGAGCAAACTGCCTGTAATGCACATGAAATACTGATGGTAACGTACTAGGTGATAATGTTTCATGAAATTGGGTGAAAAGGGAGACATCTGATGGGATGTCTGTCAGAGAGAGAGTAAAAGTTCCCCTGGGAGAGCTAGGGGAATTTATATTCATAGGACCTAAGTTTAATGAGGAAATTAAATTACCCTACTGTTGGCAAAATTCTCGGAAGTCCTGGTGACGCTGTACTGTTGCATCAGAAGAACAAAGATGACACTTATGCTGTACTTTAGTAGGAGAAGGAACACTAGAGAAAACCCTTTTAGGTCCAGCATGAAATCAGCTAACAGGAGGAACTCGGGTACCTGGCAAAAAAACACAAGGGGAAGAAAGGTCCTAAGTCAGGTTTTCCCCAAATCCCTTGAATACATTTCTGACAATATGTAATTAAGCCCTGAATGAGTGTCATTATCTTCCTGTTATAGACCAGTAAATGGAGACATGCAAGATGGTTATAGATAATCCAAAAATACACAATACTCTTCTCAGGGAAGGTCTTGGTGGCAGAGGATGTATTCTTTCTTCTCTTATGAAATCAGGTGAACCAAGTTAGGTGTTCCTGCTAACAAATGCCTTAACAGCGAGCTGAAAAATGGGAAATAAGAAGCATCTTGAGTTAAATGAAAATGGAAGAGACATAGCAAGAGGTAAGGAGTGCTATGATCCCTGGGGTGGGAATAGGCAATAAAAGCAGAATCTCTTTAAAATAACTATCAGAGGAAATGGGGATATACCACCCTTACACTCAGAAGTCATTCAGTGCAGGTGAAACACTAAGGCATTAGAGAAAGGGTCAGGAAGAGTGTTACAATGCTGAATAAGACAGAGATACTAGAATTAGTCCACTGTCAGTCTAAATCAGGATGTAGGTATGTAACAAGGTCTTTCAGTTGTACACTATCGGCTGGGATTTATTGTTAGTAATTTATGCCCTTTGAAAGAAATTTCATTAATGAAATAAAATATAGAAAATGAAAATAGGAAGAAATTAAAGCTTTACTAGCTGTGAAGCTCTGCAATCTTTGGAGGAAAAGATACTTCAGTAAGAAACAGACTAAATTGCTTCTAAAATTATAGGCCATTCATGTCCCCATGGTATGTTGCATTGAAACATATGTATGATAAACAAAAGGGTAAAAGCAAAAAACAAAAATTAATGGTGAGTGTTCTGCAGGCTGAGAACATAGATCCTTAATAGTTATTCTGTAAAGGAAATTTGAAATAGCATCTTGGATAAATCCAGATAAAATTTAAATGAAAAATGATGAGTATGAACTGATACAGAAAGAAAGATGGCTGAAAAATTGTAGAATTAAGCCTTGGTTCCAATAATTCTTAACAGTCAATTCAAATAATTACATGAGAAATAGCAGATATGGTAAACAGCATGTCACACACTAACTGTGGAGACAGTTTTTATACCAGGAAAGTATCCCACACTGAGATAGCACTGTCAGTTTGAAGAAATGTGGGCTATAAACTAGAGAAGTGCTTTGACAGGCTAAGTTTGCCAAAGCAGAGCACTTTAGTGGAGAGACTGCAGGAGCAGGAAGGGAAGGTGTGAGAGGTAGAGATCTGTGTTTGGTGGAGAATGCTAAGCCTGGCTTTGGCAAAGAAGCTAGTGGACATAGCCAGTCCAAATTCCAGTCTGAACATCAAGGGCAGAGATGGAACAGGTGACAAACACCCATGTGCAGGGCAGCTCTGGTAAAACTGAGGGAAGTGCGCAGTTGCTGTTTTCACTCTGTAAGAAAAAGAAAATTAAAGAAAGAATAAGTATTTCTCTGCTTTTTAAAATGTTTCATTCTAAATAAATAATGGAAATTATTAGGAATAGCAAAGTTATTCAGCAGTTTACATTTTGGTTCAGAATCCATGCCAAAGATCACTATAAGAATATATAGACATATGAAGATCAGACAAAAGATGAATTTGCTAGAAGTAATGAAGTGATCTTTGAAACATGGGAAATAAAGCTGGTCAGCCATTAGATATACTGCAGTAAGTATCAGAGCTAAACAAAATATTTTTCATGTTTCCAGTGAAAATTTCTACCAGGAGTGTTTATGTTTTTTGCTGCTGGTAGTGTTTCTATTGCCCTTAGAAAACCAAGAGAGAAAAATAGTCCAGTTTTCCAAAATCAAGACATGTTCAGTCTGCCTTCTTTGCCCTCTCCCTCCACTTCCCTGGGGAAATAAAACAAACCAAAACAAACATAAAGTCCTGCAGCTTCCTAGTTCTAACCATTTTTAGGGCTCCTTTTCCCATCACAGGGGAATTACAAGGCACAGTTCTGATAAAGAGAAAAGAAATATTTATCAAAAGAGCAATTAAGCATATATTTGGATGACAGTGATGTTATCTACTTGAATTCACATTAATGGCTGCTCTGCACTTCCAGTTCCAGGTACTGTAATTGTCAAGCCCTGTGATTTCACTGCATTGCTTATGCTCAAACAATGTCTCCTTTTCCCAAGAAACTGCATAAATTTGTAATGCCACGATCACCACCACATCCTCTCCCTCGAAAAAGCCCTGACATATTTTGGCAGGCTTTGAGCCTCTTAAGGCACACAATGAGGACTGCAGTGTTCATGGTCAGGCTCATTCACCTTTTGCTTTTCCAATTAAGAAGCAGAGCCCTGACCTTTAAAAAGGAGAAGAGTCAAAGACTTCATGAATCCCTTGTGACTGACGCTGATTTTACAGGGCAAGCATAAAAGAGACAGGTAGTAGCATAAAACCTGACCTATAGAGGTGGGTAACTGCAGCAGGCAGGGCCCTGTTGGAGCATTCATCTAGAAAACTCTCTGCTTTCTCTCTTCTTTTTTTCTCCTGAGCTACTGATTTATCTCCCTTGAATGCCACTTTCCACTTTCTGAAGCTGGGATGTGCACGTGGTGTGCCTGAAAGCTTTCAAAGAGACAATGAATATTTTCTTGGTGTGACTGCAGCAAAGCACAAAGGACCCACTTTCAAAAATATTTTAAGACCACAATTAAACAATGCATGGAAGAGTAGAAAGGTTTTGATTTGCAATTGTATGCTCTGGGGCTCTTGCAAACAGAGGTGCTGCTTTCAAATTTTGGCAAAGATTTTAATACCAGATGCTCCTGGGTCTTCATTGTATGAATATCATTATTGAATTGATAATATCTACTTTAAGGATGTTGGGAATATGTCAACAGAGGTACACAACTCTTTCCTGGAAGTTTTTAGAGTTGAACTGAAAAGCAAGATTTTTGTTGTTCCTGAGAACTGGTCTAGAAGAAATGCATGTGCTTTATAAAGCATACACGTTTTACCCATAAACAAGTTAGACACTACACACAGTACACCAGGGTTTTAATATCAAGCCTGATTGTTCCAGGGAGCTTTCTTTACTGGTTTGGTTTCCTCTCTGCTCAATGCCCCGTTTGACATTTTTAGCACACTCAGAAATCCTCTGTGCTCGCAGCTCCTAATGAAGTCAATGGGGGACACGGGGCTCACTAATGGTGACTACTTTGAGGAGCAGCCTCTTCAACCCTGCCTGAAAAATGTATAAAGAAAATGCCCGAGAGTGCCAAAAGCCCCATGTTCCTTTACAGATATATGAGCACACATGCAGGAACAAGCAGCTCATGCCTGAATTGGCAAAGATAAAGCGTTTGTAGTTGGGTTTTAAAATCCACATGCTTGAAAATACTGAGAATGTTAGTAGTTGTTTCAGAGCTGTAAGTAAGACAAACACGACGTGCTTGTCAAACTGTATGTACAGATGATTTGTTTGAAACCAGCTGTTTGTGTTCTGTGCTGCATTAAATTTGTGGAGAATAATCAAAAGCTGGAATTGAAAGCTGTTTAGAGCTCTTGAAGCAACAGTAATGGCAACAGGGATAGGCTGCAGTCCTATCAGATTTTACGTGTGCTATTTTTTCTGTCACTGTAACCACGGTGCACAAGTTCAAGGCAACGTGCTGAAACTTTCTGATGAGACAGATACATCAGCTGTACAGTACGAAGGTGTAATACAGGATCACAAGCCAGCTTCTGCTTCACATTTCCTTTGTTTCCTATGTATTCTTTTTGATAGACATGGCAGAATA